GGAAGGTAAAAGGGAGAAAGGGAACTATCTTGAATGGGTGGTAGCACATTCTGTGCCCAAAGCTAGGAAAGTCAGCTATAACAAGGCTTTGGGAAAATGCTAGATGGCAAGTTACTTTGTGTTTTCCAGACTTTTTGTTCTGCCTGTGAGTGCTGCCATACCTTGGCTACCAAACACAGAAATGTGAAAATGTCAGAGAAGAGAGTCAGAGCCAGGGTTGGGGGCCACTGAGACCATCTTGATGGCTTGTCACCATGTGGTACTGGTCACTTGTCAAGAGATCTCTGGTACAGATACTTCAGGTTCAAGGAAGAGCCTGGATCCATTGGTCTACCAAACTTATGGTCTACATGTGGGTACAGGACAAAAACCCAGGAAGAAAAAAGGCCCAGGGTCCTTTCAATTATGGCTGGACCTTTGCAGAAAGTACCCAGGTATGACCCTGAGGGGAGAGGAGAAGAGTGAGGTAGGGAAGCAAGGCCTGCACAAGAGGAACTGAAACCTCAGCTAGACCACAAAAGAGCTGCAGTGGGGCATGAGCAGCAGAGAGGCAGGACGGGCTGGGCTATCCAGGGACTGTGGGGATGGCAACACCAGTGAGGGACACTGTCTGGAGGGGTCAGGACCGGCTGGGCTATCCAGGGACTGTGGAGATGGCAACACCAGTGAGGGACACTGTCTGGATGGTCAGGACTGGCTGGGCTATCCAGGGACTGTGGAGATGGCAACACCAGTGAGGGACACTGTCTGGAGGGTCAGGACTGGCTGGGCTATTGAAGGACTGTGGGGATGGCAACACCAGTGAGGGAGACTGTCTGGAGGAGGCAGGACCGGAGGCAAGAAGCCCAGACCATTCTGGGATGGGAGGGGCATGTGGGCTGAAACAGGTGGAGCCCTGAGAATAGTTCAGAGAGGGGAAATGATGATGGGCTGACGGAAAAGGAGGGAACAATAGGCTTGTTGGAGGTGCCACAGAGGTAAGTGGTCATTTATAGGTTTCAATCTTCATTGTACTGTCAGAAGAAAAAGTAGAGAAAGGAGTATTCCTTTCTCCTCCATACCCACCACATAACCCATAACCCACAACAGTGATATATATATATATATAAAACACAACACACAAAACAGATGCACACACCCCAGAGATAAGCCACCCACAATTCACCACAACACACACAGCACAAAGACACACACCATGCACTATATACTTGTTGTCTGCTCCACACCATCAAATACACATCACCATGTGCATTTCAGATACAATTCATACCTACATACATACACATACATTCATCCCCACATAGCTCTCACACAGCTACAGAGGCCTGTTCTCTCCATCCCCTATCCCAGATGTCTTAGTCAGTGTTTTATTGCCATGAAGAGACACCATCACCATGGCAACTCTTAGGAAAGAAAGCATTTAATTGGGGCTTGCCTACAGTTGCAGAGGTTTTGTCCATTATCATCATGGCAGGGAGCTTGGCGGCACACAGGCAGACATGGGGCTGGAGAAGGAGCTGAGAGTCCTACATCTGTATCTGCAGGTATCAGGAGAAGAGATCCATGCTGGGTCTGGCTTGGGCTTTTGAACCTCACCCCCACTTTCTCTAACAAGGCCATACTTCCTAATCCTTCTCAACTAGTACCACTCGCCGGTGACTAAACATTCAAATCTATGAGCCTATGGGGGCCATTCTTATTCAAACCACCACACCAGGTGTGCCCAGGTGTCCTGTACTGCTCACTTCTGCCTGCACTCACTTATTCTTTTGAGGAAAGTGGATGCTGTCCATAACTGCTGCCCAGCCATCTTCTACCACACACATAGGTCTGTCTTCACTTAAAGAAAGTCGTTCTTCTCTCTCCACTCTCCTGATAGACTAAGTCAAAACTGGAACCTCAGAGTCAGTCTATGCCCCTCATAGGTGTGGTTATTTGTGTCCATTTGAAACTGTGTGCTCTAGCAGAACCCACACCGCTGCAGTCACCCTCCACCCTTACCAGCACAGCCAGCCCCAGATAACAATGTCAATTCTCTGTCACTATCCTTTTGCTTATTCTGGACTTTTCATTCAAGTTTTTCATGTTACTGTTTCCTTTTGTTGTTACTATTGTTGCTTTGCATGTGTTATTTGTGGGGGTGGGCACAGGGCATGGCATGAGTATAGAGATCAGAGGACTGCTTGCCAGAGTTCATTCTCTCTCCCCACTATGTGGGTTCTGGGGATCCAACAAAGGTCAAGAAGCTTGGTGGCAGGTATCCTTACCCATTGAGCCATGTCACTATCCCCCTTTATATTATTTCATAATCTCTTTTTTAACAGTTTTAGGTTTACAGAGTTGAACCACATTTGTACAGTCCTCACCAGCAGGTAGTTTCTTTGACATCTTTCATTGGTGTCATGAAGTTACCACAGTTAATGGACCAGCACTGACTGACACATTGTTAAAGTCCACACTTGATTCACATTTCCTCAGCTTTCACTCTTTCTGTCTATCCCAGAATGTCATCCCAAATCCCACAGGATGCTCAGTTGTCACATTTTCTCAGGCCTCTCTTGTTCAAGAAAGTTTGTCATATCTGCTTGTTTCCCATGACCTTGATAGAGAAGCCTGGCTAGCACTGTTCATGGTGTTGGAATTGTTCTGATGTCATTCTTGTGATTAGACTTGTGTGACTGGGCTTTAGAGGCTAAAAGCCTTTCCACTGCATCACATGGGGTACTTCCATCATAGGGCCTACCAGAAAAACAGTAAACAGATATCCTTACATATATATCCTTACATATGCATATATCCTTATACATACATACACGTATACAGACAGGCGTATGGATGGAGAGATGGCTCAATAGCTAAAAATGAGTACTACTCTTTCAGATGACCTGAGTTCAGTCTGCAACTGCCTATAATCCCAGTTCTGGGAAAGTGGAGACAGGTCAATTCCCTAGGGAACGCACTGACTAGCTGACTTCCAAGTTTTACCTCCACACATATAACATACACCTGCACATATATGCACACATATGCAAAAGACTGAAGTTTCTGTATATAAATTACATACATATATATATTTCACTAGGTTTATGCCTGAATATTTCATTTTGGAGTGATAATGTAAGTGGTATTATATTCTGATAATTTTATCTTCCAATTGTTCATTGCTAGTATGAAGGACCTATAGTCTGTAACATTGCTAAAAAATCAGTTACTAGTTTCAGGTTTTTCTTATTGATTCTCTGGTATTTTCATATGGATAATCATATCACCTGCGAACAAAGATAGCTTTATTTCTTCTTTGCCCATGTGTGCGTGTATGTATGTATGTATATTGTGTTTTGTTTTTCTGGTTTTATTGCACAAGTTAAGATTTCAAGTCAGGAAGTATTGTGTGAGAAAACAATCTATTTTCAGTTAAAAAAAGATTTCTAGTGAACATTCTTTCCTCATTCCAGATCTTAGAGAAAGGCACCCAGTTTCTTGTCATTAAGAATGATTTCACAGGGTTTCTCCATGGTGTGATGAATTGCATATTAGAATTCTAGAGGCTGAAGAACAATGTCATCTGTGGGGTTTCGTAGCATTTTTTTTTATCTAATTGAGGAAAATTACTGTATTTCTTGTTGCTAAGATGTTCTATCTTGAATGAATAT